AATGTACACTTTTCTATATGTAATTAACACACCATACCTTAATCTGACGCGCTCGAGTTAGATACTAATTTGACGGGCTCCCCTGGACCCCCGGCTCTATATAGAGGTTTAATATGTGGTGGGGGTACTTATTAGGGTGCAAGCTTTCCCCCTTTATGTTATTCTGACGCGCTCGAGTAAGTCCCAAAATCCCCGCTTGGCCTCCCCGTCTATTACTCAATATTAAGCAAGTATAAGATTATACACGGGGACACCTGATATCCGATAACGTTTTCAAATGCAGCCTTTAATGATATTACAAACATATTCCATTTTACACATGACGTGCATGATATTTCATTTCCTTCTTTAATATCTGACGAATAATAAAAATAAGATACGTAAAATAAAATGCACTCTGCGTAACTAAAAAAATACTATTTAAACAAACGAATAAGTCAATTATTATAGTTGAGAACTGATGGAAATGTTATTTGAATCAGATGCCAACTAGAAAATAGCTAGATAATATTTAGGAAACAAATATAACCTTACTTTCTTACTTATTACTATTAATCATGTAATCAAATTATAATTGGAGAATTGCTTGTATACATATACAGGGTGCGGCGCTAAAATCCGGAAACAAAAATGTTTCTCTCTTTGCAAAAGCCGTTTATTTTAAATATAATATAAAATATACAAAAATATACTTTTGTATGTTTGTTGACAGGTTCTATCGGAGCCCTCCTACTCGATGTAATCTCCCTGTGCCGCTATTATTTTCTCAATTCGGTCTCTGAAGCCCGCGCACGCGACCTTTAATTGCGCGCAGTTCACGGCAGCAAATGCTGCTTCAGTAGCGTCTCAGAGGAAAACCACATTGGGGTCTCTTCGCATTGATAATTCTTTCAACAACGCCCTACATATAATAATCTAAAGAATTCAAATCAGGGCTGTTAGGCGACCAGAAATCTTTAGACCAAAAGAGCTCTACATGATCCTAGAGCCAATTTTGCATCAAAACTCTTTCGATTATCGCTGCTCTTCGATTATACTGTGCACTATTCTTTATTTGTTCCGCCATTTTAGGTTATTAATATCTCACCTATGTATGTAGGCAACATTAACGCCATGTGGCACTTTCGGCTGGACTATAAAATAATGAGAATATCGAATTGAATTTTGTCCGAATTCTAGCGCCGCACCCTTTATATACCTTACCTGCACAATATGTGACAAACACGTCTCTATGACGTGCCAACTCGTCACACGTTACGTCACAGCGACTTCTCGAAACGTAATAGACACGTTGTTAACACGTGACTAACAGTCAAATTTCTGGTGACAGCAACGTCGCAGTGACGAATATTTGTGACTTTATGCAACGTGTTGAGCACCTATTTGCGACCTAAGATCCGGTTTTTTATTATCGTTTTTCATTATCTGGTTAAGTTAACTTATGGTTAGCCTTAACCAGGGTTGGGTAAGTTACTTTTTTTTTTAACTAAGTTAAGTTAAAGTTAATAACCTTAAAAATTTAACTTAGTTAAGATACAAGTGTTAATGTATAATGAAATTAATTGAATTAAAAGTTAAGTTAATAAAAAAAAGTAATTGAAAAGTTAAAAGTTAAAAAAAATTTTTTTTTTCATGAT